CGGGCCCGCGGAGCGGCTGGGAGAGGAGGCCTCCCGGCACCCGCCGACACGCATTCACACGTGCACCCGACACCATCGTCCCACACGCGTCCCACGAAGCGAGGAAGACGGGAACCAGGGAGGAAAGGAGGGGAGGGGCGGAAGGAGCCGGAACCTTCCCTCACAGGCCCTGTTTCCCCACCGGGCCCTTTCGGGGCTGGGACACCGCCTGACCATAGAGTCCGAGGGGGGCAGAGCGTCCCGGATATCCGTGGCGCGGTGCCTACTGGGAAGCCCGGGGAAGAAACGGAGGAGGCACGCCGCTCATCGCAGGTCTTTTCGTCGCCGCGTCTGACGGTGAGTGGCGGGAAGGAGGAGGAAGGAGAGAGTCCGCGAAAGCCGGCCAGAGGATGCCCGGGGGGAGGGGAGAGAGAGAGAGAGAGAGAGAGAGGAGTCCCTTTCAGGGGGGGGACTACAACTCCCATATTCCCCCAGCCATCAGAGAATCCCCTCCGAAAGGAACTTTTTTCCCGGCCACGATGGCTTCTCATCCCAGCTCTGCTGGCTAGGGGGATTATGGGAGTTGTAGTCCCCCCCAAAAAGGAAGCTCCCTCTCGCGGCGCTCTGTTCACCCCCGGGGAGTTCCTTAGGAAAGGCAGGGAGCGTGGTTGTTGTTTTTTAACAGGGCGGCTGGGGAGGAAGGAAAAGGAAAGGAAAGAGGAGTTCCCTGCACGGCCCTTCGGCTTGGAAGGTGTGAGGGCGGTCTTATCCTGCATTGGCTGAATGAGACCCCCTGAATTGAACGGGGCCGACACCTGGGCAGAAGCGCATCGCCTTGTACCGCTTGGCCCTGTTGAACTGAGGGATATTTGCGAAGGCAAGGCCATGGCCGGGGCAGTTTTGCATTTCCTCCCTCTTTTTCTCAGGGGTAGCTACGCAAAGGTTCAGCCATGTCCATCGGAGTGCCCATCAAGGTTCTGCATGAGGCAGAGGGTCATATCGTGACCTGCGAAACCAACACCGGGGAGGTCTACCGAGGGAAGCTCATTGAGGCGGAAGACAACATGAACTGCCAGGTGGGTCTGCTGTGGAAAATGGGGCTGGAGCCACCCCACGGGGTGAAACGTCACACGGGCTGCGATCTGGCTGGTTAGTCAAGTTGCCGGAATTAGAGTAGGCCCATTTGAACCTGTGGAACTTACAGAGGTTTTGACTGTCCAAATCCCCACTGATTCGACTGGCTACTCTAAGTGCACCTTACTGCGCAAAGCGACAGGACCTCAGATCTTGGGTTCTTCATCTTTTGGGTAGGGGATCATAAGAATTTTCCAGTTAAAGAGGATCTTAACTGACATGCTATGACATGGCAAGGCTATCACCCCATCACCCACCACCCACCCCTGTAACCACTGTAGAAACTCCTTAAACAAGTCGGAGCTCCCTGGCTCGTCCTCTTCAGGCGTTCCAAGGGGGGTGTCTCTTGTTCTACCTGCTTCTCAAGCTTTGAAACAATGCCAGCTAGTTTTAGCTCTTTGGTTCTAGAGTGCTTTCTGACTGATGGTTTGGAGCTCAGTCATCAGCTGTGCTGTTTTGTTCCTTTAGAACACACGGTTTCGTCCCCTTTGATCTGTAAGCTGTTTTGGGAATACTTGCAGGTTGTGGAAGATGAGTTTTTACGTGACATAAATTCTAGAAATAAAATGCAGTTTAGAAATAAGCACTTTGACAAGGGAGAATGGCGTGCTTCTTTTTGTGGTTTCTATTCTAGCACTGGCCCAGCCTTTCTCCAGGGGACCTTTAAGTTCGGAAATTCTTGCAGTTGTTAAAATAGCATTCCCAGGAACTAGCAGACTGGTTTATACCCGGTGGGCCAGATAGGCGGGAAATAAATCAAATAAATCAATAAATAAATTCATTTTCATTAATTAATTAATTAATTAATACATCCAGGCAGGGAGCTTTTCCCAGCTAGGGAAAGCTGCCAGATTCTTCTGTGGAGCCTTTGCCTTCACTCACTGAGTTTCTCTTCCAGATGTCCAACATCACAGTAACGTACAGAGATGGGCGCGTGGCCCAGCTGGAGCAGGTATACATTCGGGGGAGCAAAATACGCTTCCTCATCTTACCAGATATGCTGAAGAATGCACCCATGTTGAAAAGCATGAAGAACAAAAACCAGGGTTCTGGAGCCGGACGAGGCAAAGCAGCGATTCTCAAAGCCCAGGGTGAGTTTCCGGGCTGTGTGTTGATTGGGGTGGGGGTAGGGAGGGCTTGCAGTGTGAGAGGAAGGGGCTTCCAGCTTCACCCTCTCCTCTCCAGTTGCACTGGGGAACTGCCCCCACCCACCCACACTGCTTCATTTACAGTTTGCCACAGCTGATGCAAGCTCCCTTTGTGGACTTTTCCAAATCTTTTGCCCAAACAGCTGGGTGGCTGGGGCACTTGGAAATGCTGTAGTGAAATCAATGGGCAATCGACTCAAAAGAAAGCACGCCCCGAAATACAACTTTATTCAGGAAATTCACTGCTCCCGGATGATAAGATGCCCATTAGCTTAGACAGCTTCAAATGTTGTAGCCAAGAAAAAGTGTAGAGGAGAGGATGTTGGCCTGTGGGAACCAATCACAGTAAATACGCTGGACCTCTGAATGCCTCTTGCTTGGGAGTGCCCACGCTCTTCTTTCACTCCCTAGATTAGGTCAGTGGGAAGGTGAACCAGTCTTTGGCCTGATCCAGCATGGTGCCTTCTGCTGCCTTAATGGCTTGTTGACCGAGTCCTTAAGTGTATTAGTCACCCTATAATTTATAGTTTGGGAGGCAGCTTACAGCAAAAAGTTTCAGAAGTGCTTATCCTACAGCCTTTACCAGGTGGTTGCTGGTTTTATTTCTCCTCCAGTGGCTGCAAGAGGAAGAGGACGCGGGATGGGGCGTGGCAACATTTTCCAGAAACGGAGATAACCTGGAAACAAACCTTACGTTGGCGAATTGGAAATAGTTTTACGAGTCAGTTGTGCTGCGTTTTTCTGTGCTTCAATAAACGTGTTTCTTATTAATGCGGGCATAGTGTCTTCTCATGTGGCCTTAACTTCACATTTGTGGTTGGCACACTGACAAAGTTGTTAATCCCTTTCTCCAGGGCAGATCCGGGGCTGTGTGCATGGCTGGTGTCATGCTGCCATTATTGCCCCTGCGCCAGTCTCACTAGCCAGGGCTTCTTAAAGAGTTGTGGCTTTCTTTCAAACAATTGGGTTTGGCTAGGTCATGATTTTAATTGTGGTGGTTGTTGAGAAAGAGTCCTTGCCCACTGTGTCCTGTCAGCTTGTATAATGGCAGAGTTGGTGGGATAAAGTGGCTCTGGTTGGACATAGCGTTTCAAAACAAAAGGCAGGTTTATAAGAACAGTAAAATATTTAAAGTTAAAATGTGGCCTCACCAGTTTACCTAGATCATTCCATCTTTTCCCAGCTAAGTATATATTTAGTTACTGATTTATGTTTCAGACTTTGCAAAATTCAGAATAAAGCTTGTAGATGAAATGTGCTTTATGCATATTTGCATAAGCTTGTAAGACTTGAATTCTGAATTTTAGTTTCTTTAGAGGGTTTGGAGGCAAGAGACACGAGCATTGTCAAAGGGAGGAGGCCAGACCTCCGGAGAGACCTGGCTGTCTTGCAGAAGGGTCCTTGGGGAGCTCCCCATAGCACTGGGGGTCCTAGCATTGGCTCATTGCCTTGCAGCTGAAGGTGGAAGTTGTGAGTTGGCCTTGTGGCAACTTTTTTTATAAGGGGGTGGCAGCTGCTTCAGAAGAGGAGAAGACTGTTCCCTGTGCTTGGGGGGGGTGAGGGGTGAGGGGTGGCAGCACACCTGAAGCAGCAAAATGTGGTTGGACACATAGGTGGCCTTTTTAAAGGAAATCTACAGATAATGGGCAAAGAAGGAACTAAAGTGGGAACATGGAAACAGTTTTTTGATGGGTCAGGAGGCTTCGACTGCACTTGGAATGGCTGGTGGGGGGTTGCTTTTGGAACAGCAAGCATTACCTTTCTCAGGGGGGGACGTCTGCACAGCCCTGCTCTGTGCCGTGGGGCCTCAGGGTGTTTGTGCCCCCTGCCCTCAGGGCACGGGCCCGCTTGCTCCCAGACAGCGTTAGAAATTTTTGTCCAAGAAAGCCATTTTATTTATCATTTATCACAAACAGCAATGCTGGAAATGCGAATGGGAGGCTTTTGCGCCAGTCCTCTCAGCTTCCTCCTTGCGATCCTCTGGAATCTGGCCTTCTTGGCGCCATCCCTTCAGAGCCATCGGGCGACCCAGACGGTCCGCCGGAGACAGGGCGCTGTGTTCTGAAGGCATGCGTGCCTCTCCCCCCTCTCCGACCGGCCAAGGGAATCGCCCCAGCAGCTTCTGCTCTGCCTAGGAGGGGAAAGTATAAAACAGCTCCTGTTCCTATTCTCCACAAGACCTGTAAACCCCACCACCACCACGCGCTTGCCCCTTGCACATGTTCCTACTCTGGAAACATCCTGGCCCTGCTGTCCCTTCAGTCACACGGCCTAGGCTGTCCGGGCCCTTTGTCTGCGGAAGAAAGAAAGGACCAGGGAAGGGAAGAGGGCCCCAGCGACGGCCTGCCCCCCCGACCTCTGATCTTGCTCCCTGCTCCCCCCCAGGCCCTGAAGCGCAGCCTGCTGGCCTTTGACGTGCTGCTGTCTCGCGCTGGGGGGGAGGAGGGGCCGCAGACCCCTTGCATTCACAAGTGGAAGGAAAAGGGGATGGACAGCTCAGCGCCTCGATCCCAACGTCCGTCCGGCTGTGTTTTTTCAGAGTTCCGATTCTTGCTTTAGTGTCTCTCCGCGGGCTCCTCTTCCCTGGGTCCGGGTCCCCTGTCGTCATGGTAAGTGAGCGGTTTGAGGCGTGTCCGATGGAGACTGATTAGGATGGAGTGAAAGGACTCGGATGGGGGACAGCAGTGGCCTTTCGCTAGAGATAGGTGGCACAGGACGGGGAGAGCTGGCCAGGGCCCAGGAGGGCCCCAAGGAAGGCGGTGGCCTGGAGTGGGTTCTGCCTTGGGCGTCTGCGGCAGCCTCTGCCAGGCTCCCGTCACGTGTCGCAGGACCGCTGGGAGGAGGCGCCGGAGCTGTCTCGGGCCCCCCGATCAGCCCCTGCCCCTTGCGGCAGCAGCAGCAGCTCTTCTTCCTCCTCCTCCTCCCGCTGGCTGCTCTCCGTCCCGCTGCTCGAGAGCTCCGCATCGCAGTCCAGGGCCTCGTAGATGGTGGGCAGGGTGGTCTGCTGGCTGAGGCGCTTCCGCAGGCCGACCAGCAGCGGCTGGGGCATGGAGGAGATGTCCACGTTGTTGCCCAGGTCGATCCAGGCCAGGGAGGGGAACTTGCTCAGGTCCTTCATGGCGTCGGTGAGCTCCTTCACGGTGGCGCGGGTCAGGCGGTTCCCGTTGAGGGAGAGGTGGGTGAGGTCGGGCAGCGAGCCCAGGAAAGGCAGCAGGAGGCGCAGCGTCTCGTCCGTCAGCTCGGCGAAGCTCAGGTCCACCGTGGTCAGGTGGTCGCCGTTGCTCTGCAGGTAGTAGGCCAGGCGGTGGACGTCCCGCACGGAGAGCGGGATCCCCGAAAGGTCGACCGTGTCATGGGTCAGCTTCTTCTGCAAGTTGTTCTTCAGGCTGAAGGAGGAAAGGAAGCAAGTGAGGAAGGCGGAGCGCTGAGGGGAGGGGGCTGGCAGAGGGACGGGGGGGGCTTTCCGCAGGCAAACAGGAGCCGAGAGAAGTACGTGATCGGCCCCTCCCTTAGGTGGGTGGGTAGGTAGGTGGGGGCAAGTCCTTTTTCAGAGCAGACACCCAACCATGCAAATCACAGCATGTGTGCGTTGTAGAGATCGCACCGTTTGCAAAAGGGCAGCTACGGTGGGTGACGAGAGGGCTGGGCTGACGGCTGTGGGCCTGGGCCATATGGAAGGCTCTGCCCGGCGGAGGGGGTGGCGGCGTGGGGAGGTTTGTCCCTGCTCCCCCTCCCTCCCTACCCACCAATCTCACCCAGGTCTGCTTGTGTACACACGGGCTGCCTGAAAAGCCCAGGAGGAGGGCTTGGTTTCTGGAGATGCTGGAAATGTGACTCATTTCTTGGGCTGCTTCCTCTGGACGTCCCCTTCGAAGCCATAGCATGGAGCCCAACCAGCTCTGCCTGGCGCCAGGGCACAGGGTGCCCCTGAAGTGCCCGCCCAGAGGGCAGGACAGGGGGAGGGCTTTTCTCTGGCCAAGTTGCTGCAACAGCACCCTGCTTCCCGTGGACAGCTGCTCTAGTGAGCCCCCCCACACACACCAGCCACGTCCCACCTCCTCTACTCCTCTGCCTGCCCAGCCCCCAAGTCACCCCGCGCCGCTCACCTTCCCTGGGACTTCCGGCGGGACAGTCCGTGTCGGTGCCCTTTGGCGTGAGGAGTCAAGTGGTAGATCAACTGCCGGCAGACCCGATCCGAAGACTTCCAGGGATCGTATTCCTGAAAGCAGGGGAGAGGAGGCGGTGGGGGAATGTTCCAGCTTGCTCGGGGCCTCGGCAGTGGCCTTCCCTCGGCAGACCTACGCAGAGGAGACCTGCTGCCTGCGAGGTGACCACTCCGTGAGGGTCCGCAAGCACAGAACCCGCACAAGGCTTCTGCACCCAGGGCAGCCTGTGAGAACGGTGCTGTCAGACAAGAAGCATGTTGAGGAGGGGGGAGGTCACACACACACACACCTGGCACAAAGTGCCAGTTCTACCATCAAAGGGTGGAGCTATGCCCTGGGTGGGAAAGGTGCCCCCCCCGTTGGGTCAGGCCAGCTCTTCCCTGGGGCAGTGACTGCTCTGAGTGGCAGAAATCCGGGGCAGGGGGGAGGAAGAGGCCCGGCCCGGCCTTGCTGCTGAAGAGATGACCTGGACGGACCTTCTGTGTGCAGAGCAGATGGTCAACTACCGGTCTCTGGCCCCTTGGGCCGGTGAGGGCAGTGGCCGCTCCTTTGGGGCCATCTGTCGGCATCTAGCTCAGGTGCCCGAGAGCGCCACGCTGGCGGCGGAAGAGCTGCAGGCCCCACCGTGAGGGCACCTCTGCCTAAAACGCGGACCCTCGCCAGTCACAGAATCCCAGAGCTTGCCAGAGGCTGGTCGCCCCAAAATCCCCAGTGAGTGCCCGGCTGCACCTTTGCCTGCAGCCCATCTTGCTTACAGGGGGTGGGGGCTCTGGATGGGCCCCCAGCATCACAAGCGACTGGGCAAGAAGAGGGTAGTGGGCCTTTCGAGGGAGACGGGCCGCCCAGTTCATGAGCGCTCGGTGTTGTTAAAAGAGTTGGGGGACAGAGGCTGAAGTGGGCGCATTGCAGCTCACCCTGAGGGGATCCCCAGTGGATCCCAGTGGCAGAGAATCCGTCTCTCAGACTTTCGGCACATCCGATAAGATGCAGGTGCTCTCCTGCATCTTCGACTCTTGGTCAGCATGAGAAATCATCATCCCACGGTTGACAGCTCTCAAACCAGACACCTCTAACAGCCCAGTCTCCAGCACCTTCTTCCCCAAGGCTGGGCAGCCCACCGGGCAACGAAACCCCCCCCATCTCCCTCCCTCCTCAGAAGAAGCTGCTGCTGTTGCTAGAAGGAGGAGTCTCACCTTTTTAGGGCACTGCAGGTCCCTCGCGAGGCTCATGAGCAGATCGTGGGAAATCGGGTCCACCAAGTTGAGGAAGGCTGCATTCTTGTAGAGAACTTCGCTCAAAAAGGTCCCTTCCAGGCCAAGGTCCTGCCAGAAGAGAGCGGACGATGGAGGAGGGGAAGGTACCACGTCGGGCCAAGGAGGGAGGGGGCCGTGAGCTGGTGATGGAGTGGCAGGCGGGCGGACGGACGGACGGACGCACGCACGCACGCACGCACGCACACACACACACACACAAAAAGACAGGGCTTGCTTGGGAGGAAGCAGTAAAGTCTGCAGGAAGCCGAGGAGTCCCTCCCACATGGGCCCCTTGCCAGTTCTTCCAAAGACGGCGTGTTATCTCAGAGCAGGGAAAGCCCTTGGATAAACTGGGTGAGAGGCATGTTCAAGGTCCCTCCCATCAGTTTTAAAAAATTTTAATTTTAAATAACTTTTCCAATAACATTTGTTTGGTAATATTGCCACAAATTAAAACCACAGCTAATAACAAATGAGCTACTGCTAATTAATTAGGAAAGGAGGTATAACCAAGTCACGCGACTATAACTATTTTTTTTCTAGTGCAGCTGTCCCTTTTAAAAGTTACTTCTACTGTAACATGGGTGTGGCTTTCCCAAAGTGGTGGAGGAGGAATACCACATGGTTCAAGCGCTGGCTTCTAGTGCAGCTATTCCTTCTAAATCACAAAGTAAGTATTTTACTTTCTCCTGAGCAACAGGGCAGAGATTTCTTTGGAAATTCAATTAAAATGACCACCAACTACCTGGGACAGTTCTTAGAACTATAACAGTCACTAACTGGCAAAAAAATCTAGGAGAAAGGAATCATAAGTTTTCCTTTGGTGATTATGTGAAAAGGAGGTGGGCAACTTTTAGTGCTCCAGGCACTCCCAGCACCCTCACTCCTGGCTAGGCTGCCTGGGGTTGATGAGAGTTGTAGTCTACAACACCTGTGGTGCCACACTCTGCCCACCTTGGTCAACAGTGAGTCGAAATCAAAAATTGGGGGTGGGGAAAGAACGGGAAAAGATGCATAGTTTAAAGCTGACCGACAGTAGATCGATTCCTATAGTTAGGACAACCCAGAACTTTATAGGAGGAGAGGTTCCACTGAAATTCAGGTGGACATTTAAAAACAGCGAGGAGCCCAGTGCCATCTCAAGTTTTATCTGGCACAAAGCTTCCACACATTGCACCCGTACAGATGTGGTCCATAGAAGATGGAGTGAGCAGCAGAATCTGGAATGCATTTCCCTCAGAAACAAAAACCACAGGCAAATTTATTTCCAGTGCTGCATCTGAAGGAGTGTTTTGCAGTCCAGAAGAGCTCACGCTGAACTAAAATCTGCTCGTCCCAAAGGTGCCCGCTGGGGGGGGGGAGGGCTTTGCTCCTGTTGCTGCTGAATCAGATAAGGGGAGCCTCTTCTCCAAAATAACCCACAGAAGACCATTTCAGAGGCCAAACAGACTCTTGGCTGTTATTTGTGGCAGCAAAGGAAGATCCCTGCCTTGCTCAAGATAAATCATTGATGTCTTTAATAATCAGGCGAAGGGGCTGCTTTTTAGAAGTTGCAGCCTCTTGTGACCCCTGCATGGCCACCCCAAACTTTCGCCTTCCTTCATCGTAGAGCCAACACCTACCGCTTTACCTCTGACTTCCGTCGGATCCTTCTTGTGAGGGGCTCCTTATAAGGGGTCGCCCACCCACAGATCTAATCCCTTTCCGAAGGAAGGGAGCTTCCAGGTGGTTGGGGTGGGAATGCCAGGGACGAGCTTTAAGGATGCCCGACCGCCGGTGGAAGCTCTGCTCCAGGGCAAGGGTAGCAGACTTTCAGGGAATGAAATATGACCACGATCCAGGCAAGATGTTTTTGTTGGTGAGCCTCCCAAGCCAAGCCTATTGGCTGAATCTGCCCTGGAGGAGGCTGTGTTCCCACCTCCCGTCATCAGATCTGGAGGCCAGCCCCACTGCTCATCAGGCACTTTGGATGGAGGCTTTGGCAGCCACCACCCGTCATCCTGGTTAGACTACTACAACATGCTGGGTCTGGGGCCACCCTTGGAAACTTGCCTGGGGCCAGAGGCTGATCTTGGCTTAAGGACTTGAATACAGACCAGCTGGCTGGGGTTGGCCAGAAGCAGGGCTTTGTGGAGGGTGGCGGCCCCGGCTGGGAGGGGGCTCTGCCCGGCCAGCTGCCCCGCTGAGGCCCCGGGGCAGCCTTCCAGCTCCCCTCCTCTCCCCGCCCGGCAAAGACGCCTCCGCGCGGCCTCGGCACGGCTGGAAGGACCGGCGGGG